AGCCACGGTCCTCGATTTGCAAGACCTGAGCAAGACTGTTAACAACAGGGCGTTTTGGATGCCATTAATTCATAGGGTTGCCATAAGTCAGAAGCAACTTGATGGCACTTAACACGCATACACACACACAGTCCCCTGGCAGCACCCTTCCCCCTCCCTATGCCACTGGGGATTTTCAGGGTTTTTCCACACAAAACAGCAATTGAATATTGTTATATCATAACTCTAACACGACAATCTAGGTATCAGGTTCCAGGAACTCACAGTTCTCATTTTCTAAAAAAGTTAGTCTCTACCCTTTTCACTGTGGAGATATAAGGGGAAAGGCATCTCTCAACAATGAAGGGGGCTAAGATTGTCCTTTGAAATTAAGAGAATATGATACACAGATTATTATAACAATACTCAATTACCAATTAAAACAAAAAAGCTCCCCAGTGGCAGGGAGAAAGGCTGCCATGGGGATCAGAAAAAGGCTTGTTCTATGGCTGGGACTGGGAAAATCTAAATCAACCCTCCCACACAAGAGCCATCCAGGCTTTGGTGCAATCTTTCTCAAAACTTTACAGCAAAGCAGGATTGCAAAAGATCAGAAAAAAGTCAGGGAAATCCAAGGTGCACAAATTCACCACAATGCTGTGAGGAAGCAGGAGAAAAAACATACTTCGGAGCAGCATCAGATACATGTGGAAAAGGTCCAGGGTCTGGACCTTTTTCACGTGTATCTGATGCTGTTCAGAATCAGAAGTGTGTTTCCAGGCTTCTGGAAACAGTGCAGAAGCATTTAGTAATGTGCAGTCTCAAAATACATTGCTCAATATACAATCTTCACAAAGAGAGTGCAATAAGAAAGTAAGTCAACTACATTTAAGAGCACACCTCTGTCTAGTTTTAAGTATAACACTCCAAGGCCCTATATAAAAATCTCAGGCATGTAACATGTCTATTCCACACCTTAAGTGTCTTTTTTTTTAAGTAAGTCTTCAGCTGCTGCGTGCACAACATTAGCATGCCATCTTGGTGTTCACCCAGGTCACAGATGTTTAACATGCCTAATACTTAAAGTGCAAGCAAAGCAATACAGTTTAAACAACAGCCAGGGGATGTCACAACAGGCAGGCTTTTCTTAGACACTGGTTTCATGTTTAAATTGGGCCCAGGTCTCCCTCTGCCTTGTAAAAAGACAGAATGGATGTAATGTAAATTTATATGGCTACACGTTCAAAGAATGCTACATTCTTTATATGCTAGTAGCTACCATGCTTTTCATTTAAAACATACAAATCTCAGCTACTTATTATTACCATAAGTAGACACTCCACCTCTGCATATATGGGTATATATATTTTCTCATTCATACATAAAATAAGCTCACTTGTTAAGAACTGACTATAAAAATTCAAAATCTTGAGAAACTCTGTAGGTGACATATACCCTAAGAGGTTATTATCTTCTATTATAATAGAGCAGAACTCAGTCCTCACAGAACATCCCACTGAACTCTGCACTATTTACATCAAGTAAGTCTGATCTCTTCAGATCTCAGAAGCTAAGAAGGGTTGACCCTGGCTAGTATTTGGGTGGGATCGTGGGAGACCTCCAAGGAATATTAGGGTCATGACATAGAGTCAGCCAATGGCAAATTACCTCTGAACAACTTTTGCCTTGAAAATCCTCTGGGGTCACCATAAGTCAGCTGTGACTCAGCGGAAAACAAAACAAAACAAACATGTTTAAAGTTAGCCTATAAAATAGGATAAGTGATGAATGCCCTACACTCTGCATCAGTACTCCAGAGGCCCATCTGTGCATCTCTGTACTACCATTGCAGGAGACAAAACATAACAACTGTTAAGTTTGATAACACTTCGTGGACAAGGTACAACCCATAGCTTTATTCTAACACACTGTGCACTGACAAGGTAGTTAAAGTGTCAGTAGCAGTTTAAAAGCAATTTCAGATTTTATACCTAAAAAGATAAGAATGACTGCAGTAACACTTTAAAAAAGAGTCCAAAGAAGATTCAGGAAAATATAGGCCCACAAACCTAACATTCATTTAGGTCAAATGCCAGGTAAACAAACAGCTGAACATAGTATTTTGGCAATATAGTCAGTACAGCTTGTGTAAAAGGAAGTCATGCCTCACAAATTAAAGTCCTTTCAAGGTATCTCAACAAGTATTTGAACTCCAGAAGCAGAAAATGGTAATCTCTAGTAAATCCTTGCAGCAAATAAATTTTTGCTGTATTTGACAAGTCCTTCATCAAAGGCTCCTAAGAACAGTTAACAGATTCATAAGGGGATGATCTTCTAATGTAATGGAGTTAAAAGGGAGGAAGGGAATCCACAAATATGTGGATAACTTTCACAATGGCAACCGACAAAACCAAGATCTTATAAAGATTTAAAGTGATACTGATCTTTAAGAACTTATTCAACAACCGCAGCAAAAGCAAATAAATTAGGGCCACATCTATAAATGAAGCAAGAGTATCAAAATACCAAAAAACAAAGCAAAACATGAAGAACTCTTCAAGATCTTTCATTGTGATAAAGCACTCCTTGATGATCTAATGTTTGTAACTATGAGGAAATATCCACTGAACAATTCCATGCAGTACCTACACATTAACTAGTTGTAATTTATTTGTAGCCAATTAGAAAAATTATTGTTAGTGTCACAATGAAGAATTGATTGAAAATGCCAATGCAAGAAGTCCAAATAACAACCACTGCATAAACCTACAGAAGTCTAAATTTAGTAGTGTTTTAATATCCTGCTTGTGAACTTTCCTGTGATAAAAGGGGAAGGAAACAAGCAGTAGCAGCAACAATGCTGTTTTCAGACCACTTGAGAAGTTATTTCAGTTTAAGGAGACATTTGTGGACAGAAATGAATACTACAATACAGATAATACACTCTTACTTGGAAATGTGGCAGAAATTACTCTGGACCAGGATACAGAGGACCAGGCAGCATATTTAGACAGCCTTATGTTTGATTATTTTATGCAATAAGACTGACCAGCAGTTACTAAACAGATGTTGGATTTGACCAACCAGATGCTGATCTTGACTCTTCTGCAAGAAGCATGCTTTATTGACATAGGAGCAGCAATTTAAAAGTTTTTACTGTCTCTTGCCCGCACACAAATAACAAATGCAGAAAGCTACCACACATACATACCTCTGAAGTAACTAAGCTTTTATTCATAACTATTTCCATCTGTTCTATTGTACAGGAGCCTTTGAAATATTATTCAGAAATTCCCTACCGTCCAATTCTATGCTGTATGCTTTTCGTCTTTTCACCTAAATTTACACATGTGTAAAAACTATTCTGCAACAGACTTTAGTTTTGTTGTTGCTGTTAAGCACATGAGTGCTGGTCCAAATTCAATAGGATTTAATATACAGAACACTCTTGGAATGGTTAGTTCAACTGCTTACAGAACAGTTTAAAAACTCTAGTTAAAGTATCTGGAACCAGATGAAATTTTTTTTAATCCTTTCTCAGAACTTCAGCAGTAACATTGGCTAATAAGCTATTTCATTTGTTGTTTTACAGATGCCTAAATTAACTTTGGGGCTTATATTTGCACCCACCTGCAGCATCGCAACATTATTTTATGTGTATTCCTGGTAAAGTGCTTAATCTCCACCAATCCAACTGTAACTGAACACAGTGAATCTGCTCTGTTCAAACACAGAGCCAGAAGAGGGGGGAAACCTCTGCACCTGCAAGGGGAGGCAGGTGCATTTGGAAAGTCGGCTGGCTAGCCGTCTGCCAATGCAAACAGCACACTAGAATAATCACTGCGAGCGGCTTAACTCCTGGGGAACAGTTAGAGACCCTCCAGTTACCTTTTTTTTTGGGGGGGGGGGAATATCCATGTCTCAGACTAGGGCACGCTCTGAAACGTGAGCTCTGGCCCTTTAAAATTAGCTTCCTGCGGAAAGCCAGCAGAGGGAGATGAGGCTGTCTCGCCCGGTCCATCGTGACTCTGTTTTTGTTAAATGGGGGGTATTTAAATGTCCTGTTGTCAATCAAAGCGCACTTCCCCTTAACAGCCGCAGCCGCGGGGGTCCTCGGATAAAGATCCCCCTCCCAAAATCGCTGCCTCTTCCTCTGAACTTCGCGCCGCGATCTGGCTTCGGCCAGGTAGTCGGAAGATCAAAGCCCAAGCGAGGGAATAAAAGCCACTTGCGCCACCAAGCCACCCAGCCCCCGAAACTTGCTCCTTTGTTTAAATGCCCATGGACACCC